TTATGCAGCCCCTTTCAGGCTCCTGCTTGTAGTGCCACTTGGCTGCACAGATTTCTACAGCCTGTGAATAGACTAATAAATATGGAATTGTTCTGAACATCTGTAAGCAAAATATGAAAAGATATTACCCAATGAATGAACATCCTGGATTTTCTTGCCAGAAATGTAGTATTTTGTATATTAGGCTAATGCTCTGAAATTAACCCAGAATGCTTATCCATTGCAGAATGTCTTTTCATATTTTCATCTGTACAGTCAGTCATTCTTATAAAATGTAAGACTAATTCTCTATCAGGGTATTCAGAAATCTGAATAGCTCAATTACTTGTAGAATCAATGTAGTAAAGCAACATCATACCAGTTAATCAGCTGGTTTGCATAACAACTGTTTGAGAGAGTGTGCATGCATGTGTATGTGTGTGCACATATTGTGCATGTATGAAGAGAAAACCAGGATCAGCCAACTCTTCAAAACAAATGTTAAAGATCAAGCTTTTGTTTGACTATACAGGAGCGAGTTCTGGAAGACGGGCACTAGTGTTCATGAACAGCCTTCTCCTAGTACCGAGTATGATGTCTTGCATGTGGTACGTTCCCAATAAATGATGTACTTAATTCATCCAAGAATGCTTCCGTGGACCTAAGGCTCCTCAAAATCAGCCCATGGTGGGGTCTGGGTTCTCTGGGCCAGGCAGATGCTGTGCTCATAAGGAACACACAGGAAAGGGGGAAGCTTTGCAAATCCTTTAGGAACAGAGTGGTGGCCCCTAAGACTTGAATTACTTCTCAGCATGACTCTTAAAAGACACAAGAAACACAACAGAAACGGTGCCCATCCCAGCAGGTCCACTGGCCATGAGAGATGCCACCCCACATCGCAGCTGAGGCTACTGAGGATGGTAACTTCTAGAACAGGTATGTGAATAACTAACATGAATTATGGGCACATTTGAGGGTTGGGACTCTCCAGAGAAATGCAAAGAGGCAATCACAGTGTTTGGAAAACCATGAAAGTCTGGCTTCTGACTCCCATCTTTGAAGGCCCAAATTCCATTTTCATCATTCAATTCCACCCAAGGTTAATCCAATATAGAGAGAATGACTCACGCAGACTAAACTCACCATAAACTGAGATCGCAAAAGTGGCATTTTATTGAATTTGAAGTGAAAATTAGAACAGCCTGCCTGACTGCCCTGGCCTTGCTGCATTTTCTTTCTGTAAATAATCTCTGTAGAAGGACAAAAGGTTAGGAAGTCCTGAGGAATTGGGTTGGGTTGGTGATATAACTTCAAAGTGCCACAGTGTTGGGTCTGAGCAGAGCTCCCAGAGGTGCTGCCACCCCCTCTCCTGGCTGCACTCCAGGCCTGACCTGCTGAGGTCTTCTCTCCTCTCTCTCAGCCAGGGCACCTTCAGGGGACTGTGGTCCCATAGGCTTGCAAGCTGACATCCTGGTTAAGCACCAGCCTTTCTGTGCAGACCAGCACAGGCATCTTTCAGACTTTCTCTCCCAATGTGCAGCATCACTCCACATGCTTCGGGAGTTGTTCGTACCTTGACTCTTCTACATATACCAGGCTCAAGGGCACTACAGATGGAGGTTACCCTGCCTATACAGCCCCATCTGGAAGCCCAAAGGGAATGTCCTGCCTACATGCCATGGTTGACTCTGTGCATGTGACACTGCTGGGCCACCTCCTCTCTGGCTGTTACCGGAAGGCAGGCATCTTTCTAGTGCTTGGTGGCAACGGCATTGTGGGCTCGGGTTTCGGTCACTACCCATCATCATCAGGTGGAAATGCCATGTACATGCAAGGACGTGTGCTGTTGGCACACATGGTACTTTTGCACACTCATATGCACACTTGCTTGCTCACTTGTCCCTGTGGAGGCTGTGTACCCACTAGCAGGGCAAGCATACTGAACTAGAGCTGCTGGCTCTTTGGCTTGTGGCCACTAATCTGCATGCCAAGACACAGGTGTGGAGCACAACATTTGTCATCACATGCAAGGTTGAGGGGGCAGAACCACCCCTCTGGATTTGGGATTTTGATATCCCCTTCCCTAAATGTAGCACTTGACCTGAGAAACCACACAGTACCTTAGGTTCAAGCATACTGCTACAGGAAAGAAGGGCTTGGCACATAGTCCACATCTGTATGTTTCTTATTTCTTGAAGAAATAAAAACCTCTATAAGATATCCATGGGTCATGATCAGTTTTACAAACACAAGGACAAACAATTTGGAAATGGATGAAAATACTAGGACACAGACTAGTGTTTTCTCACAATGGACCACAGAGATTATTATACCTCTCAGTGCAGGCTGGTGGGTTCTTTTTTTCTCTTCATTCAGACCCCTCCAGGGTGGCACATTCAGCAGGGCTTTAAGCACCAGGGGCTTTAGCACTGAGACCCACCAGCACGACCTGCTCTCTGTCTCCCCACCCCTCTTCTCAGTCAAAAATCCTTATAGCTTGTTACCATAATCACTCTCGCTGCCAACGCTCCCCATTCTCCTTCCCTGGAATTTCTAGGGATGTGAAGGCTTCACCACTCCTGCACCAAAGGAACCTTCCCTCCTAACACTTTCTCTGCCTTATTGTTTTCCTCTATTATGATCAGAATAACAGCAAAAAAGCCTAGGCAAAGAACTCATCTCTCCTTCTGTTACGACTTGTGTTTAGATGTCCCTCTAAAGCCTCAGGTGGTCACAGGTAGAGCTTTTTCAGTGGTGGCTGGATCTAGAGTGTGTGATTGATTCACGGTGCAATGCTAGGATTAAAGGTGCTAGGATTAAGGGAGGATGATTACTGTATCAGTCCACTGATTGGTTTGGCACCCGCCCTGATTCTGGTAGCCTGGAGAGAATATAAAAAGGGCAGAAAGATGCTGCTAAGGTCCCCTTGTTTGTTTTGCTACCTTCTGCCCACCATGAACATCTGCCATGTCACCCTGCCTTGGAGCCAGCCAATGTATGGACTGAAACCTCTACAAACTGTGAGTTAAATAAACCTTTCCTCCTTTAACTTCAGGTGTTGGGTATTTTGTCTCAGCAATGAGAAAAGTAGCTAAGGCACTTCTGCTGTCTATCTCTTTCCAATCAGGAGCAAGCATCCATGCCAACTATACTTTCCAGTGCTACCACTAACTTAATAGGAGTGTTGGAATTAAACAGAGTTTTTCCCAACCTCTGCGGGTTCCCTCCTCACCTATAGCTGTAACACCAGCTGTTTGTATGAACTTTATCTGAAAGAGGCTGGTCTTTTTTCCTTCTAAATGGCAAAGATAAAAAAAAAATTCCTTGGTATTTTTCTTGCAAGAATCAGTAAGAAGCACACCACTATATCTAAAGGGTAGTGAGAGATGGACCTGAAAGAGAACATGTGATTGATGGGAGGAAGTGCAAATAGATGAATGGAGATTGGCCGGGATAAGGCGGCTGCTGGGAGACTTACACCATAGTCAAGGCACAAACTTTGAGTTGAGGGTGCACGGGGTAGAGAGTCCATTTGTGTGTGGACCTGGGTGTTTCCTTATCTCTCTGAGTCTCAACACTAAACAGATCCTGAGATGCCTCATGCAACTGTGGTGTAGGAAAAAAGAAAGACATAAAAGATGCTTATGACAGTGTCTTGTACAAAGTAGGAGTTCAACACATGAAAAGTGCCACGTTGTCACTAAGGTAGAGGCGAAAGCAAAAAGTTAGCAAACAAGCAGTCACACAGTTCCGATTGTTACCACCGTGTGGGATGAAGATACGAGAATGAGCAATAGGTGGTTGGGGGTTTTCTTAACAACCTTTTTCCTCCTGGGTTATCAAGTTATGCCACAATTACAGAAAGGAATCTACTCATTTCCATCCCTGAGACTTGAGAGGATACACCTGGGCAATCTCCAGGTTCGTCAGAGTCTATTTATAGCTCTGCTGTAGCATTAGTTTAATTTTTAAACAGAAGCCAAAAAAAGGGTTAACTATTGAAGTATTTACTCACTATTCCACATTCCCAATACCAATCAGAAATATTTCAATTCTTCTTTACAGCCAAGAAAACCAAGAATACACATATTTTTATAGTACTTTCCTTCTCACACAGTGAAATTTGTTTCAAAACCACATATTACATATGAAATTTTGGTGCCACCAAGTCGTGGTCGCATAATTGCAGCAGAGGTACATAGTCTGTGAAGCCTGAAACACTCACTCTCTGGAACTCAACGTATGTCAGCAGGCAGGGAGCAGAACTTGGCCTATGGGCCATGGCTGCCAATCTCTGCAGCATAACGTGGCTTTTCATGGTTTTCTCTCCACAAAGTATGTGTAGTACATGATGTGTTTGAGTCACAATGGTTCTGATTTCTGCACAACTCTCTGTGGCCCAGTATCCCTGCCTGGGGATGGAGGTTCCCATACTGATGCTCAGTCAGACCATGACACTTCCTTTAACCAAGGAGATAAAAGGAATCAGGACACAGCCAGAGGATGGGGCTTGTCCTCTCTTGCTTCTCCTGGGTCTGTGTGTCCACCACCAGGTGTATTAGTCCAAGCCAGTGTGTCCCATATCACCATTCCCTGGCCAAGGAGAACCACTAACAGAGGGCAGCACTGACTGCCAGACATGAGAGAGGCCACTGGAGACCAGCATGCCCCCAGGGACCCCACTAGGTGACTGTGGCCGCCTGGGTGAGTCCCAGCTGGTGAGAACTGCAGGAGAGCCCCCAAGCAAGCCAGCTCAGACTGCTGACCCAACTTGCTTTAAGCCACTAAGTTTTAGGGCATTTATTTCACATAAAAACCTAAACATTACATTCCACAGGAAGCTTATTACCTTCTAAAACTATAAAACAAGAGCTAAACAAATATATTTACAGAAATGGTAAAGAGAAGAAAGGGCATATATTTTTTTTAATTGGTATTTCCATTTTAAAAATCCAGTCATCTGCCAGCACGGACAAGACCTCCTTGTTCCTGCCAGCAATATGACAGCAAAGTCTTCCTACCTGAGCAGACTTCTTTATAAGTAGGATTGGGGGTATAACCTCCTGCAAAGCCCACTTGAGTTGAATAGACACCTTTCAAGATCCAGAATTTCCTTTCAGCTCCCCAGAAACAGCCCATTCCTGCAAAAAAAAATCAGAGAGTGGTTAACCAATTTTCCAAAACCAGAGGTTCATTACATATTATAAGACCCGTTAGTTGGGAAAAAGAAGCTTCTCTGATCATTTGGTGATTAAAAATGACTGAGACTCTGAGCTGGGGATTTAGCTCAGTGGTTCTGGTGACTGCCTTGCAAGTGCAAGGGTCTGAGTTCAATCCCTGTGTACCAAAAAAAAAAGGAAAAATGACTGAGACTCTACCTGGTAAAGAAGGAGAATTTTTCAACATTTTAAACTAATTTTATTTAAGGTTATTTGCATAGAATGTCCTTTGTTTTTACTGAACAGAAACCTAGAAAAGCTCAGATTTTAGTGGATTTATATCTTTCCTAATAACACAGTAAAATAATAACAAATTTATGAATATTTTTGTACTCAATTCATAAATTATATTGTATTTAATGATAAGATTCCTGGTCATTTAAAAAAAAATATTTTAACTAAGACATGTAATACTCGATGACTTATTAACAGAGAAATTTCCAAAATCAATATATATTTATGCAGTATTTCCAATTAAAAATGTCAAATAGGACCAGAGATTTAGCTCAGTGATGCCACACCTGACTGGCAAGCACAAGGCCCTAAGTTCATTTCCTCATATCAGGAAAAAAAAGGCATAAAAATGTCACATATCTGGTCAGTTTTTACATTTTTTATCACTATTAATTTGCATATGTTGTCACTGTTTACCCAAACATATATTCTTCTGAGTTCTGTTATTGAATATAATAAATGAGGAATGTGTGGAAGGGAGGAAGGGAAGGAAGGAACAACAATAAACAAACTCACAAAAATTGCATTCCATTCAATTATAAAATGTTTATGCCAACAGTTATTGGATTCTTTTGAACACTGGATAAAAAACTAACACCCATATCATAAGAGCACACATAAAAATGTTAGAAATATCACACTGTTTTTCCTTGATTCCACAGAAAGCACCCCCATTCTCGCCCATAAGTTTCTAAACTGCCCAGGAGAACTGGCACTCTCCCAGATGTAAGAAGCCTGCTGCCTCTCTTGAGCTTTATGTAGCTTTGTCAAGTCACATATAACTAAGGTCTGGGTGGAACAACAGTTGGTAAATTAATATATGCCTCCTATTCTGACAATCACTAGCTTTGCTAGATTTAATGACAGAGCTGTAAGAAAATTTAGTTACTGACATTCTTGACAGCTGTTAATAGTGTACTTTAGAAATTCAAAGCAACAACAACCAAAAAAACAATGCGCATAAAGTTATACATTATCCAAAAATATTCTACTTACTAAAAAATGTGAGGGGAAATCTATTTACCAAAAATAGGTTAATAGTTTTAAAATATGATACATCCAAATAATAAAATTCAGCACAGTAAAACAATTACTGTTGTGATAATATTGCAACATGGAAATATGCATATGATTGTATCATAATAATCTAAGGCTAAATTAAAAAGGAAAAACACAATTATATGCATGTTTCTATTATAACTGTAAAATATTCTTATCAAAATAAACTGGAAGGAAATATACTAAAGTTATAAATCACAACTGCTTTAAAATGATGAGAATACAGGAATGTTTTCATTTTTCACATTTTTCTGTAATAGATTCTTACTACTTTAAAAATGAAAAGATGTGTTTTTAAAGAAAGCAAAACTTCAAAGAAATAATGTAGCATATGTGTTATCTGAGTTACACACTATTGTACCATTTATAATCCTTAAAACTACCACTCTCAACCCAATCCCTCCCCTCACAAAAACCACTAACTGGTTTTTAGAGTAACCATTTCCTATGTTTCTTTCTTTCTTTTTTTTTTGTACCGGGGATTGAACTCGGGTCCTTGCGCTTGCAAGGCAGGCCACCGAACCACTGAGCTAAATCCCTGGCCATTTCTTCATATTTTTAATGATCCAAGTATTTATCCTTTACATTACATTAGTCTTGTTCATTCTTTTTAAATGATTTCCCTTTAAGTCCTTTTAATCAACAAGTTGTCCTTTACCCTCTGAAGAACAAGGACTATGTGAACACAGCTCCCCACAGCGTGGCTTCTGCAAGGACTGCATTCTCGTGGTACAGTTTAGCTTGTTCATGTGTCTTCGTCTGCAAGGACTGCATTCTCGTGGTACAGTTTAGCTTGTTCATGTGTCTTCGAGGGCCACTTGCTGCAATAGGATATCAGACTCAAACTCGACCCCTCGTTAAGACCTCAGAAGTACTCTCTTTTGTGATGTCAGCATCCATGGATGCTCAATGCTTAGGAAGTGTTTATCCCTCAAGAGTTTACAAAACGGTGATCTTCTATCATTCCTTTTTCATTTATCAACTGAAATACATTAAAAAGAAAAGCTCAGTGGGGCAATTTATAACAAAGAAAATGTGTAACTATGTCCATTTACTTAGCATCTTCAAAATGATGAACTTACCATCTCCAAAGTTGACCAGTAAGTTTTCATCGTTATAAACTCATTAATTTAAATGTACAATGGACCCTTGACTTATAAACTCTATCGATTCCCGAGGGCTGTTGTAACTCAAGCTGGTTATAAGTCAATACAGCTTCTCTGGTTGTTTACCTGGGTACACACTATAGATAAAAAGAGGCAGATGAATCTTCCATAACCTCATTAACCCAAGTTGTTCATGTCAGGCTAATTATAACTTAAGGGTCTCCTGTATTTGACAATTACCGTCCTTGGCAAGCTCCATGGGTCAAAGTGTCAGCCAGAGATACCTCCTCAAACTAGCTTTTGAGTCACTTTCGCATGTCTTCAGTTGTCCCTCATAGCTTTCTTGCTTTCTGATTTGACTGGATGTTCCTGGTTCCTCTTGCACATTTCCTACTCCACACATAGAATCACCCATTTCTCTAAGAAACCTGGCTTCTTCAAATGGAAACATTTCAAGACCATGGCCTGGGCACCAGTAATGCTCACTGCAGAATGACAAACCAGGAGATTCCGGTGGACCACATGGCTGAAGTTGCTTGCCAAGAACTAGTCCCATGGGGGTAGTATCAGTCTATCACAAAATAGAAGTCATATATTCAGGACAGTACTCAAGTAGGACCAGAGGATGGAAGCAAACTGTGTCAATAGGCAGCCAAACTCCCACAGCACATCAGCACTGCACTGACACCCTCCCCTCACTTTCTTCCTGGGGCTATATGAGGATTGTGGACAGCCAGCTGCAGGACAAGAAAAAGCCTGTTATGTTTTGTTTTGTTTCGTTTTGCATTGTATGGATGGATGGCTCATTATGAGAAAGCAAGCTGAGGATACAAAGCAGCCAACTGCAGTGTCCCTAGAGTAGCCTGAATGACAGTGGCAGAGGAAATCTTCCCACCCAGCAGCCTTCAGGCAGTGAAGCAGTGAACTACCTTGGATGGAAGAAGGAGTCCATGTTCAGATCACATGTGGACTCATGAACAGCAACAACTGGCTTGGTTGAGCAAGAGGCCAGGAACAAAAAATAGAAGAGAAGGAACAAAGAATCAGGATGGACACAGGAGAGTAGACACTGTGAAGATCTTGGTATAGTGTGCTAATGCCAGCCACAGACCAGCCACCATGAAGGCAGACTAATCCGCAAAGCAGAAGCAGTGGGCTGGCTGATAGAATCAGCCAGCCTTGCACTGGCCACTCCAGTAATGACCTGAGGAACACGGGAACAAAGTAGCCATGGTGACAGAACAGAGGTGCTATGGGCCTGACAGCATGGCTGCCCACTCACCAAGTCTCATCTAGATACTTTCCACAACTGAATGACCAATGCAACAGAGACCACATGCCCTGATTACCACCATTCCTCAAGGGAACCGACCTACAGCGGGGGGTGGGAGCGGGGAGTAATTGGGACCCTATCCACATCGAAAGGCCCAGCGGTGTTCTCACATGTGTTCCCAGGTGGCTGTGACTTTCCTACCTTCTGGATCTTAGCCAATGAGTGTCCCACAGAGCAGCATATCAGATAGGCAATTCACTTCACAGCACAGGTAGCACAGCAGTGGCTATGACCACAGCTCCTCCTGTTTTATTCTCTGCACAAACCTAGAAGCTACTCTTCTGGAATAGCCCTGAACAACCCTGAGGTACAGTCACAGCACTGACTCAGAAACAAAATTCCAGGAAGGGTCACATCCTTCAGGACACACAATGTACACTCCATCAAAAACCCCAAAGATGATGGCACACCATGACCCCAAAAGATCGTGTTTACAAAGCAAGGAGTACAAACAGGAATGGTTCCATCTACCATAATTCCCAATGACCCATCAGGACAATGTACAACTCTTGGTTCTGTAGGACTAAAGATCCTGGCCCCAAAACGGTGTCCTCTCATCAGGGAGCATAGCAAGAACCCATTGAATTCCACGTTACAGCAGTTACCTAAGCACGCTGGGAACTTGTGTACAGGGACAAGGGAGAGAAAGGAGCTTGTCAGGTGTAACCAAGAGTAGCATGTGAGATCTCTGTTGTGCCACAGCCTTGCAAACACTTGGTATTACAAGGTATATACAAATGTTTTCCAGTTGGATGAGTTTTCAGTGGTCTCTCATTGTGATTTTGATCTATATTTGGCTAGGTTGAGCATGTTTTCATATTGTGTATTGGTCAATCATGTTTGTACCTTTGTAAATTGACTTTGTCCATTTTTCTATCAGGTTCTTAAACTTTTCTTGTTTTACTTGTTGTAAGTTTAATATGTTTTTAATCAATTTTTGTCAATTATATGTTTGCAGACACAATTTTGTGTCAGATTTGCCTTTTATCTAACAGTTGTGATACCTACTGTCATAAAGGTGTTTTTAATTTTAATTTGTCAAAGTTCTCTGACTTTTATCATAGGTAATTTTTGTATCTTGCATAATAACTCCTTCCACACAATAAAGGTTATAAAGATGATGTTTGAAGCCTTTAAAGTTTTATTCTTTATTTTAGGTTACTAACCTATCTAGAAGTAATTTATGTATAGGGTATGAGATAGGGATTCAATTTGTTTTTTTCTATGTGGATAATCAAGTATTCTGAATAAATTGTTATTTAGTAAATAATCCATTTCCCCCACGTCTCTCTACTGTCACCTCTACTAATAAATCATTTTGAACAGTCCTGATTCTGGAATCTCTATACTTTTTTATTCATTTATTCAGCAAATATTCACATAGTGCCTAATATATGCCAGGAAGTCCTGTAAGGACTTGGGATACATGAGTGGACAAAACAGACAAGATCCTACTCTCTTGTAGAGAACACATTCCAGAGGGGAAAGACAGATACAAAACAGTAAAAATAATAAATAGGTGGGTGATATAGTAACTAGAAAGGCACAAAGAACTATAAAACATAAGAAAAGTGGAGCAGGGTCAGAGAGATCCTAGTGATGAGATTTTTAATAATGTTCAGACTGGACCTCAAAGAGATGACTTCAAAGATTCAAAACAGTAAGACAGTCAGGCACCAGATAAAGGGCACAGGAAAGAGTCCTACAAAAGCACCAACCCTGTGCCTGCTGTGTTGAAGGGGCAGGAAGGAAGACAGGGGATTGAACCAGGGGAAAGCACTGGCGCCCAGAACAGGTGAGCCAGATTGCATAGGGCTTTGCGTGGTTGTGCAAGGAGGACTCTGACCTATACTCTCAGTGCAGTGGACAACACTGTTGCAAGCTGGGGAGGAGAGGAGATGACAAAACTTTCATTGTACAAGGACTGCTCTGGCTGTTCTCTGCAGACAGCAGAAAAGAGTGGCCCAAGCACAGAAGCAGGGAATGTCGTCAGGTGAGAGACTGTGGCAGTGGAGACTAGGGGTGGCAGAAGGAGACAGGAGTTGCAATCAGACTCTGGGTGTATTCCTGAAGATTACAAACAGGGTCTGAGAGAAAGAAGGGGATCAGATTGACTCTGAGCTTATTGACTTGAGGGCAGAACACTGAGGATGGAGCAGATTTGCAGGGAAAGGGCAGGGCAGTTTAATGAGCCATAATACCTAAGAGAGCAAGTCTTCTCCCTCTATCTTTCTTCAAAATTTTCTTTGCTATTCTTGGCCCATTACTATTCCAAATTTAGTTTAATATCAGCTTGTCAAGTTCCACAGAAATATCCTTTTAAATTTTTTACTCGAATTACATTGAACTCGCAGATTATTTTGAAAATATTTTGTCATATTAATAATATTGAGTCCTCCTGTCAATTAATATAGTATCATTCTCCATTTATTCCAATCTTCTCAGGTAACCGTGAATATCATGACAAAAATTTTCACAGATCTGATACATTTTATTAGATATAGTTCTATGCATTCTGCTATTTGTGTTGCTGTTATAAATACTCTTTTTTCTCTTACACTTTCTTACTGCTTACTGCTGGTGTATAAAAACATCACTGACTTTTGCATGCTTTCCTTATAGTCAGAAAACTGTAATTATCTTATTTGTTCTAATGGCCTCTTTCCAGGTTCTTTTTCAATCCCTTTAGAGAAAACTATATTCTGTACAAATGACAGTTTTATATCTCCCTATCCATTCTTCTTCTTCTCCCTTGATCTCGTTTTATTGCATTGGCTAAGTCCTTGCACACAATGCTGAATAATAAGGTGACAGTGAGAATCCTGTCTCATCCTAACTTCAGTGAGAACGCTCCAATGTAAGAATCAGGTATTCTGGAGGTTTGCAGAAGATATTCTTCCTCATGTAGAAAAATTCTCCTTTCATTCATAGAATGAGGAGCATTTTAATCACGTACGAGTTTTAAATATTAGCAATGTCTGCATTCTTTTGGATGATCAAATATTCTCCCTCCTTTAATATCTTAGGGTAATATATTACAGAGATAGGTTTTTCTGAAGCACTGCAATAAATCTTATCTAACTTAAGCATTTTAATGCTGAATTACTTTTGTTACTTTATTTAATTTTTTATTTATGTCCATAATGCAGATTGGTCACAACATTATTTTCTTTTACCTTCCCTGTGCAAAACTGGTATCGAGGCTACACTGGCCTTATCAAAAAGATGGGCAATTCTCCCTTCTCCCCCACCCCATGCCCCTATACAACACTGCATTAGAAGAGGGATATTTCTTCACTGTAGTTACAGCAAAGGTTTCTGAACTACCTGAATATTGTGTCTTTGGAGAGGAGGAAAAGAGGAATTAGAGGGTGTGTTGTTTCATTGTTGTTTGTTTACTAATATTTTCCTATTTGTTTTTCAGCTTTTAGAAATTTTCTTTGCAGACAAACCTTGGGTTTCATTGATCTTCTGTATTAACTTTTGATTTTCTACTTTTGCTCTTTCCTTTTTATTATTCTGCAGTTACTTTTAGTGTCTTCATTTCCCATCCTATGACTCACTGATAAGCTTATTTTTAGCTTTATTTTCAAATATTTTTATTTTCTAATATATGTTCTTAAGGTTACACATTTACCTCTAAATTTTGCCCTAGATACTCACTATATTTAAACATGTAGTACCTTCATTACTATTCTTTTCTAATATATTTTCCATTTTATTTCCTCCGTAATTCATGAGTTACTTAGAACTATACATTTTTTTCAAACATGGCTTTCTTATACTACATTTTCATTTATATTTTCAATTTTATTGTAATATGTTAGAAACTATGGCCTTTATTATATTCTTTTGAAAGTTGTTGAAGCTTAACTTGTAATCTACAGCATAGTCAATTTTTGTAAGCTTATCAATTCATAATTTAAATAGTCTAGGTCCATTTAATTTTCTAGCACATTAAGCCATCTGATTCTTAGAGATTTAATTAAAACACCCACCTATGTCTGAATTTTTCAAATTCTCTTTTGCTTCTGTTAGTTTGGCTTCATATAGTTCTAGGCCATTGCTCACATATAAAATCTTGTTATTGTTTTACCTCTGGCACAGTTCCTTTCATTACTATTTAGGACCTTTCTCAGCTATTAAGCTCTGTTTTTCTTTTCTTTTCTTTTTTTGGTGCTGGGGATTGAACTCGGGTCCTTGCAGGTCACCGAACCGCTGAGCTAAATCCCCAGCCCCAAGCTCTATTTTTCTTAAAATTGTTTTTTTAATATTAATATCCCACATTAATTTTCTTTGTACATATCTGGTATATCTTTTCCCATTCTTTATTTTTAATCTTTACATATGTCTTTGTTTTTGAAGTATTTCTTGTAGACTGCACATAGCAGAATTTTGAGTTTTAGCCAATTTTATAATCTGCCATTAATAATATTAATATACTTACTTTGATTATATATTTAAATCTACATCCAAAACCCCTTGTATGTTTTCTGTTTACCATTCTTTTTTATTTCCTCCCCTATTTCCATTTTCTCTCAGATATTCTTGTTTTCTGACTCCCCCACCCTTGTTGATTTGGAAACAAAAAAAGTACACATTTTTTTAGGGTTTAGACTTACAATTTTTATATATATAACCCTCTTCCCAAATCAAAGTCCTCCCACACTGAAAAGCTTTCAATGACATGAACAGCCCATTGTGGCACACAGGTGCCATAGGTTCGCCACCACTGTGACTAAAGAGGATTAATTTTGATTTTTTTTTCCATACACATATGCACAAATGAGTTTTTGACAACTGATTCAATGATCAACGTTTTCATCATTTTGAGACCACTATCAAGTTACTTCATAACTTATCTTTATATTAATTCTTATTATTGAAATGCACCATTTCAATGGTTTTTAGTAAATCATATAAGTTATGAAATCTCTTAATTTTTTCTGTCTGAAAATGTTCAGACTTTGCCCTTACTGAGAGATTAGCTGGGTGGGGACACTTCAAGATTTCATCAGCACTCTGAAGAGGTTACTCTACTGTCTTCCCCTGCTCCTTGCAGCTGATAAATCTGCTTTTGATCTAACCGGCATTCTTGGTAGACAATCTAACTTCTCCTTCTGTACTTCTCAAAAGTTTTTCATTCTCAATTTCTGGAGTTTAATTATGATATATCTAGGTGTGTGCAAACTTCATGTCACTCAGGGTTGGAAATATACTTTCAATACGATGCTTCATGTCTTTCTTCAGTTCTAGAAAAAACCCAGTTATTGTATCCTCAACTGCTTCTCCACCCATCCTGCCACTCTATTTCTCATACGTCAACCAGGGAATATCAATTTATCCTTCCTGTCTCTATCTGCTGAAGGGAGGAAGACATGGGTTCCTTTCTTTGCCCACTAGAAATATTCACTGAGTCCCTAATCCCTAATCACTGTTCAACCTAAAACTTCTACCTATGGACTTATTTCAAGTTATTTAATCCCAAATCTTATTAGTAGTGTTTGGATTTATTTTGTCTATTTTCTGTCATACTTTCTTGTAATTTCTTCATTAGGTGAACATCCTAAACATACATATTTTTAAAATGATTTTAGTTTGTCCCAAAAATTAATTGCATGAGCAAATTTATATTCCATTTATTGATATTGTGGCTTCCTTCTTAGCATTAGATTATCCACATGCATTGGAACCTGGTTCTGCAGGCTCACGGTGAGCAGCTGAACACACACACATACATGTCAACATGGGCAAAGGCAAGAGGCAAGAAGCTGCACCTACCTGAAGGTCATCTGTGCTCCATTAGTTTGTTGCTACAGCAACAGCCACAAGAGACAGGTGGTCCCTAGAAGACCTGCTGTGGGCTGTAAGAGGTATCTCTTGCAGAATATACTTAAATTGCACTTTAGAGACAATTTCATTCGAGATAATTCTAGCCTTTAGAAGTCACAGATGCAATGAATTCACTTGCCACTCCTTCAGGCTCTTCCCCACAAATTTCTGAAAGATACCACATTCCATAGGAATCAAATTTTGAATTAAAAAGAAAAAGATTCAAACTTTATCATAACTGAAACACCTAATAGATTTAAAGAACATGTCAAAATTCAACTTAAAATTTGTGATTCTCATATACCATATTCAGAAAGAACTTAAAGAAATGGCAAATTTTCATAAAACCCTTTTCCAAAACATATTGTCACTGAAATTTTTAACCTGACCAGTAAGGATCTGTGATTGTTTTAATAAAATATTGTTTTTCTATAAATGCAAATAAGAGACCAACCATGACAACCATGGTACTATTGAAAGAAGTCTCCCCATATCCACGGTGTCCTTATGGTTCATGACACAAACTGGCTAGATTAATCTGCTAACTAGTACACCCCACTCTCTGTTAACCAGAGACCCCTTTTGCTGTCAGGTACCAGTGAGTAACAGACCCTCCAATAGCAGGGGGGCCAGGAAGAGCAATCTGTTGTCAGGGTGGAATCAACAGGAAGGCTGGCTCCATTACAGCACATGTGGCCACCACCTGTTCTTCCTGCACCTCATCCAAACACCCACCTTCTGCTCATTTCCCAGTTTGAAACTTCACAAAAAACGCAGCCATGTCCGCTACAAGCATTCTACAGGAAGTCCAACTGTAGAGCAGAGATAGCCCAGTCATCACGCTGCTGGATTGCATACTTCCCCAACTCCACTGCAACTTTTGAAAGCTACAGAGACAAGATCACTTTGCCTGGTTTTGCTTCCTGTAACACATGCTCTTTTCACTTAGCTCCACACCATATATCACCTATTAGAATTTGGCTCTTAAATCAAAGATGTGATTCTCACCATCCCACTAAGAAAGCTCCAGGAAGATGCCCACTTCCAACTCCCTGATGGGCCTGCCCCAGTTAGGTTCCCTGACACCTTACGTCCAGTATGGCCAACAGCAAGTGCACAAGCAAGCCAGCACTTTTGGGGGTCCCTATCAGTTTGATTTAGATCACCTTTTCCTAGATCATTATAGGAAAGCTCGGGGGAACCATCATGTGTACTCTGTTTCTTATCTCAGCCTCAACAGCATCCTGGTCTCCCATCGGCTCTCCCTTTTTGACCAGCAGGACAATGGTGACAGCCCCCTGTCCTCTTCATCATGTCCTCTTTCAATCATGTCACTTTTCCTTCCTTAAATGCACAAATAGGCAATATGCAAGAATCTTAAAAGTAATAATACCTTCAATTCTAGGATTCCACTTCTAAAACTTAGCTGCAAAGAAATAATTTTTAATTGATAAAACAGGTTTTCAGAAATCTAACAAAAAATCTTTATAAAAAAGGATGAACTAAAAAGTATAAGGGGGGCCACTCAGGGAGAGAAAGTGGGAGAGGGAAGGGGAGGGCAAGACAAAGTAGTAGGGTAGATACAATTAGAGCACAACACACGCATGTGTGGAAAAGTCAAACCCATTAATTTGTACAATTAAGATGGTTATTAATTATAATAACTAAAAATGTTTCTGAACAACATTTTCTATAATAATGAAAACCTGAAATAACTTAATTTCAATATTTTATTAAAGTATTTAATAAATGATGGTCCACCCATAATTTCAAGTAGACCATTTTGCATCCATTTTTCTAAGATTTAATTGTATGGAAAAATATTCAAAACACAAACATTAAGAAGAAAATTAGGACATAAAAGAGTAAAGAATTTTTAAATTCTAATTTAATATATATATGTTTTAAAATGGAAATAAACCAAAGTGTTAACAGTGGTTATTATTTTTTACTGGGATTATAGGAGATTTTTATTTTCTTCTTTATACTCTGCTGTAATCTCTGAATTTCAACATGAAGTAGGTATTCAACTGTCATAATCAAAGGAAGTTTGTTTTAAAAAACTCTTTGTATGGATTGATTGATCATCTAGAAATAAATACAACAAAATGTTAGAATAATAGTTGCTTCTGGTTGTTCTTGTTTTTATGAATTTTCCAAATTGTCTAATGAGACTAGATCACTTTTACAACCAACAAAATAAACACACACAACTAACCCTCAGCCAAACTGGACTCCACCCATGACCACTGTCCCAACCATCACTTCTGTACTTCACACCCTCCACCCGCATCTCCACTTATGGAAATCCTGCCCAAGCACCAGGGTAACTTCTGTTAGCACTGTCTTTCCACAGTGCCAGTCTCACACAATGTCTCTTCTTGGGCCCCGAAACACATCCAGGTCTTTTCACTTTGATTACTCGTTCCCTTGTGAGTCCTACCTGCACAGTAGACTCCTGTCTCCCCAAATTCACCTGCCCTCTGTTATCTGACAATCTTGCATGGATGTGGCTCTGATGAATTAGAATCCTTTGAAGACTGAACAGTCCATCTTTAGCAGTGCAGTGGAATTCAATGGAGGGACTCTGGAAACTCTACCTCTAATTTATAAAGAATTCAACCTTCCTTTAAATTGGAAAGTAGAAACTCAATGATCACATGGGAACAAATGTATTACTGAACACAGAAAAGAAGCAGTTTTCATACTTCAAAACTCATTCCTAGAAGCAAGTATCACTTTGATTCCCAAACCAGGGAAAGACGCAATTGAAAAAGAACTACAGGCCAATCTCCTTAATGAATATAGATGCAAAAATCCTTAATAAGATACTAGCAAACAGAATACAGAGGATCATCAAGAAGATCATGCATCCTGACCAAGTTGGATTTATTCCAGAAATGCAAGGATGGTTCAACATATGTAACTCAGTAAATGTAATACATTATATTAACAGAGTCAAGGACAAAAATCATATGATCCCCTTGATAGATGCAGAAAAAGCATTTGACAAAATTCATCACTCATTCATGATAAAAAACCCTGCAAAAAATTGGAATAGATGGTCTATATTCAGGTTAATAAAGGCTATCTATGAAAAACCAACAGCCAACATCATATTAAATGGCCAAAAACTGAAAACCTTCATGTTAAAATCAGGAACAAGACAAGGATGCCCACTATCACCACTCCTCTTTGATATAGTTCTGGAAACGTTAGCCATAGCAATTAGACAAGAGAAAGAAATTAAAGCAATAAAGATAGGAAAGGAAGAAGTTAAATTGTCATTATTTGCTGATGATATGACACTCTACATTGAAGACCCAAAAAACTGTACCAAAAGACTTCTAGACTTAATTGACACTTTTAGCAGAGTAGCTGGATACAAGGTCAACACCCAAAAATCAATAGCCTTCTTATGAGCAAATAACAGAGTCACTAAGAGAGAAATTAGGGGAAAAAATCCTTTCACAATAGCATCCAAAAAAATGAAGTATCTAGGAATCAATCTAACAAAAGAAGCAAAAGACCTCTACACTGAAAACTACAGCACTCTGAAAAAAGAGGTCGAAGAGGATATAAGAAAAGGGAAAGATATCCCCTGCTCCTGGGTAGGAAGAATCAATATAGTGAAAATGACCATACTACCAAAACTGCTATACAGATTCAATGCAATGCCAGTTGAAATTCCAACACTATATTTCACAGAACTATAAAAAAGAATCCAAAAATTCCTTTTGGAACCAGAAGAGACCTAGAATATCAAAAGCCATCCTAGGAACAGAGACACAGCAGAGGGTATAGCAATTCCCAATTTGAAACTATGCTACAAAGCCACTGTGATAAAAACAGCATGGTACTGGCAAAGAAACAGATCTGAGGATCAGTGGAACAGATTGGAAGACACAAAGACAAATCCAGATGTACTCAGCTACATCATATTTGACAAAGGAGCTGACCATCCTCAGTGGAAGAAAGATAGCCTCTTTAATAAATGGTGTTGGAAAAACAGGATTTCAACCTGCCAAAGATTAAAACTGGACCTTTATCTTTCACCATGCACTAAATTAAAATCCAAATGGATTAAAGATCTAAACATTAAAACAGAAACACTAAACTTGCTGGAAGATAAGTTAGGCAGAACTCTGAAAGACATTGGCATAGGAAAAGACTTAATGAACAAATCTTCAGTAGCACAGGAACTAGCACAAAGAATCAACAAGTGGGATCTCATCTTATTAAAAAGCTTCTGTACTGAAAAATAAACCATCAACAGAACTAAGAGACAACCTACAATGTGGGAGAAAGTTTTTACCAGTTGCTCCTCAGATAAAGGACTACTTTGGAGAATATATAAAGAACTCAGAACAATCAGCCCCCCCAAATATAAAGACCCAATTCATAAATGGGCATCTGAAATGAACAGACATTTCTCAGACAAAGAAGTAAAAGCAGCAAGTAAATATATGAAAAAATGTTCCACATCACTGGTCATTCGAGATATGCAGATGAAAACAACACTGAGATTCCACCTCACCCCACAAAGAATGGCTGCTATCAAGAAATCAAGCAATAACAAATGTTGGCAAGGTTGTGGGAAGAAAGGAACCCTTCTCCATTGTTGGTAGGAGTGCAGACTGGTGCAACCACTATGGAAATCAATATGGAGATACCTCAAAGAGCTGGGACTAGAGGTTCCATTTGACCTAGCCATCCCTCTGCTGAGCATCTTTCCAGAAGAATTAAAAGAATCATACCACAGTGATATATGCACACCAATGTTTATAGCAGCACAGTTTGTAATAGCTAAAACTTGGAAACAGCCCATTTGCCCATCAGTTGGAAACTGGATAAAGAAGATGTGGTTTTTCTATAAAATGGAATACTACTCAACCATAAAGAATGAGAAATTAGATTCATTCATAGGAAAATGGATACATATTGAGGATATACTCCTAAGTGAAATAAATAAGTCACACATGTATAAATACCGAATAGTTTCTCTGGTATGAAAAATTATAATAGAACATAAGATCCTAATGATATAATTGACCATGTGAACTAGGAAGAAAAGTGCTAAAGGTGTAGGGAAAATGGGAAGGGTAGAGGAAAGGTAATAAAGGAAAAGAAAAAATATGACAAAATGAAAAAAT